TCCCCTGTGGCTCAGCTTCCTCATCTGGAAAATGGGGCTGAACATCGGTAATTATAAAGTGACTGATAGTTGTGAGCACACTCTTCCCACCTGCAACAATGGTGCAGCACTGGAACTCTGGGTTCACTGGCAGAACATACCCTCCTTCAGTGGGGTTGGTTCCAGCTCAGTGTATTGGGAGACAGAGATCTGAGTTCAGATCCTGGTTTCCCCTTTAACCACTGGGCTTCCCTTGTGGCTCAGATAGTAAAGAACCTGCCTGCAATGCAGGAGACCTGGGTTCGATCCCTCTGTCAGGAAGATCCCCTGGAGAAGGGAATGGCAACCCACTCCAGTATTCTTGCCTAGAGAATCCCACTCCCAGAGGAGCCTGGTGGGCTATAATCACAGAGTTGGACATGACTGAGCAACTAACACTTTCACTTTCCTCTTTAACCAGCCCTAGCTCAAATTCCTTACATATTTGAGCCTCTGTCAGTCCCTGGGTCAGGAAGATCCCCTAGAGGAGGGCATGGCAACCCGCTCTAGTATTCTTGCCTGGAGAATCCATGGACAGAGGAGCCTGGCAGAGTACAGTCCATAGGGTTGCAGAGTCAGACATGACCAAAGCGACTTAGCACGCATGCACACATGCCCTTATTGTACAGTGTTGTAGCGTAGTTGGGAAGTTTCAATATAATAATGCATGTAGGACTTCCTTGGTGGTTCAGTGGCTAAGAATCCACCTGCCAATGCAGGGGACACAGGTTTGGTCTCTGGTCCAGGAAGATCCCGCAAGCTGCAGGGCAACCATGACCATGCACCACAACTGCTGAGCCCGCCCTCTAGAGGCCATGAGCTGCAACTACTGAAGCCTGAGTGTCTAGAGCCGGTGCTCCTCCACAAAATAAACCACTACGAGACTAAGCATCACACCTAGGAGTGACCCCTGCTCCCTGCAACTAGAGAAAGCCGCACATAGCAATGAAGACCCAGCACAGTTCAGTTCCGTTCACTAGCTCAGTTGTGTCCGACTCTTTGCGACCCCATGGATTGCAGCACGCCAGGCCTCCTTGTCCATCACCAACTCCCAGCACAGTCAAAACTAAATAAATATTAAAAAAATAATAATGCATATAAAGTGGCTGGTTGGTGCCTTACACTGAGGCAGTGTTCAGGAGACGTGCACTCTTAACACCATCATCACTTACTGCTGACCTACTATGTGCCTGGCACACTCAGGGAGAGGGCATGAAGATAAAAACAAGCATGGGTTGGTGGAAGTTTTACTCAGACTCTATTCCTGCCACTCCACTGTTTGAACTGGACCTTGAAGGATGGGTCAGATCTGTCACTTGGGGATGGCAGGCAGGAGGGGCCTTGTGGATATGGAGCCATGGAAGTCAAGGCTGGGAAACAAGAGCGTATAGGACGTGAATGGAAAACTGCAAGTATTTTAGTTTAGTTTCTTGTGAAGGTCTCTCTGGTCACAAAGCTCAGTGAAAATATATTAAATACCTGCTGTGCACCCCTTATATCCAACACCTCATTGAATCTTGAATGGAAAGGTCACTTTTGCCATACCCATTTCAAGGATGAAGAAATTGAGGCTCAGAGATATCCAACAGCCTGACTAAGAGCCCTACACTAGGAATAGAAGGGGCAGGAATTCAAGTTCAGGGCAACAGACTGCAGATTGGCATCCCACACCTCTGGCAGGAATTAGTTCCCAGGCAGTGAAACTCTAAAGGCAGCCCCAGCTGCCCGAAACTCAGCCGCAGAGAGCTGGCTCGTGGCCCCCTTGCTGGCTCCCTTCTTTCATCCCAGCCCCACCCTACCACCCCCATTTCCCTTCCTAGCCCTGGGGCCCTGTTCCTTCCCCAAACCTGCTCTGCCACAATTCCTTCCAGGTTCTCTCATCTGTAAAATGGGGGTAATAACAGTGCCTGTCTCAGAGGGGTGTCACGAGGATCAGAAAAGAGGCCCAAGTGCTTGGAGCCCAGAGCACCATAGGTTCCTTAAATATTAGCAATCGTCAGCATCATCATCAGCCAATAATACCCCTGGAGTCGAGTGGCACCGGCCAAGTGGAAGCACCTGTATTTGATGGTTGAGGAAACTGTTGTGGAGAGGTGGAGCCACAGCCTCTCTGAGGGTTCTCAGCTGGGAGGTTGGAGAGTGGGACTTGAATCTGGGTTTGCCGAGCCTCTGATTTCAGATCTCATTAACTTCTGCCAGTCTTTGCTGGGACGATGAGTGAATCATTTAATCAATATTTATTATCCATCTTCTGTATGCCAAGCCAGGCTTTAGGGACATTCAGAGAGGGATACCACCTGGTCCCTAGAGGAAGCTTAGAACCTAACAGATAAACAAAGCATATGGAAACAAAGCCTTGTTTGTGGAGGCAGAACACACAAAGGGTCCAGAAAAGGGCGAGAAGCACTTTGACTAGGAGAGGGGAGGCAGGCAGGGAAGACTTCCTGGAGGAGGTGATATTTAAACTAGGGCATGAAGCTGTTCCCCATGTGGCTGCTGAGGAAAGAAGTCGCCAGAGGCACCATCAGCTGTGCGGGCAGGGCAGCAGCTCCTGGAGGCCAGTCACCAGACTCTTCAAGGTGAAACAGAGCCTGTGAGTTGAAGGTGAGTGAAGGTTGTCATGATAAATGTTTTCCAAAAACGTGTGGTAGAGGATGGCAGTGAGAAAACCATGAAGAACATACATGCATGTATTAATAATAAGCATATAAGTACTTGCAGATGAATGTTCAAGTCCTTAGCTGTGGTGTTTAAAAAATTCTTCATTGCCTGAAATATTGTGATAAGTTATATAGAAAAATACATGTCCAAATGGTTTTAATTCCTGGGCAATAAAGTCTATCTTCATTCAAATAACATAACACAATCATAATAAAAATTTTAAAAATAAACTGAGCCATGAAAGACCAGTGAAATGTGTAGACTGGAGTAAAGGGATCTGTGCACTGGAGATAAGGTCAGAGATGTAACCACAGCTGCCATTTCTTGGGGTTCCTTGTAAACTATGCTCTGTGCTGAGAGCTTTGCATGCATTATCTCATGAGATTTCCCCACAGTCTTATGAAGTGAGTGATAAGGGACAAGAAAACCCAAGTTCAGAGAGTTTACAAAAGTGTGTGAGCTTGGGCTCACAGCTAGTAAGGTGACCAGGTCTGGGTTTGAAAGCTCTCTGCTTCAAAGTCTGGGTTCTTCATCCCCACGCGTTATTACCATCTCATCTTCGAGATCTGAGGATCAAGTATGAAGCTGGGAACTGACTCTGAAGAAGTGCTTTGAATGCCAGGTTCAGACTTGCATAAAAATCACAGACGCAGGCAGGAATCAGCAGACCTGGAATCTAGCAGCACCTTTTAGTGGCTCTGCCCCTCACTAGCCAAGGTTACTTCTCTAAGCCTTGGCCTCTCTAGACTGGAGAGATGAGGAATGTAAACGGATTATTGGACAAGAAGGAAGGAAGACCTGTGACGAAAGGGTTGTTGAGGAGAAACCTGGAGATCTTCAAATATTCACTGAGTGCTGGGCTCTGGGAATACAACTGTGGACAAGTCAGAGCTCTGCACTCTGGACTCCCACCCAAGACTGCAAGGGCCTGGGCTCAGCTTGGGAGAGCGTGGGAGGATCCTTTCATTGGAACAAACAAGGGCTCAGGAGCTGGCCTGTCCCAGACTGAACTGTCAGATCACAAACCAGCCAGTCTCTCTGTGTGACCTTGAGCAAGTGACCTAACCTCTCAGACGGTCCATCTTTACCAGCAAGATCATCACTTCTTTTCTGGCAATTGTTGGATTCAGCTAAATAAAATAAGATAAAGCAATCATCTAGCAGGGTGCTAGGCATGCTGTGGCCATTGATAGATGTTCAGTTCAGTTCAGTCGTGTCCAACTCTTTGCGACCCCATGGACTGCAGCACAGCAGGCCTCCCTGTCCCTCACCAACTCCCGGAGCCTGCTCAAACTCATACCCATTGAGGCGGTGCTGCCATCCAACCATCTCATCCAATAGATGTTAGGATCCCCCTATGAAAAGGTATAAATCTTAGTCTCTGCCCCTCGCCCTCCCACCCCCACCCCGCCCCGTGCCAAGAAAGAGTAGACTTTTCTGGCTTTCATTTCAGCGGGGAAAAGGATATAAATACCTCTACGTTAGTGTTAGCTGAGCTATAATGCAAACTAACAAAAGGCCTGCAGCTCGGGCAATGTACCACTGGGTTTGGGCTTAGGCCAAAGACTCCACGCCAAAAGATCCCCTCCACCCCCAGGGTATTCGGACCCATCCCTCAGGGCGTGGTTGCCTCCGCTGTCTGCGAACCACCCTCCGGGTCGGTTTCTCGGGCTGCCAGAGATGGGGGGCACCGGGCGACAGCAGGTACGGCGGCCCCTTTAAGCATCAAGCTTGTGTTGCAATCACCACCTCGGGGGAATGGTCCTTCCGGGGGGTGGAGCCTGTGCCTGTTGCAGCGACCAATCGGAGCCCGGCTTTTTCCGCGGGAGATCCGAATTTCGCGGCACGCAGTTTCGCGCTAAAAAAAAAAAAAAAAAAAGGAAAAAAAAAAGCCGCAGAGAAAGACTCCGGGACTTCAGATCGAGGCGAGAGGGAGTCGGAGCGATCGGTCCCCCTCCCCCATCTGAGTGCATCGCTGTTTTTGCCGAGCCCGTGGGCATCCCAGAGACCCCCTCCCCGGAGCGCGCCGGACTCCAGGGGCTGAAGCCTCCGGGGGCGCGGGGCCCTCGCAGGTCGCGGGCGCCCCAAGGGCGGGGCAGCCCCTGGCCCTGCCGCAGCCGCCGCCGCCGCCGGCGCCGGGCGATCTCCAAGCGGCGATCTCCAAGCGCTGCCCGGCTCGGCTGCGGGCCAGGAGAGGAGGGTCCGGCTCTGCCTGGCCTCCGCGCCATGCCGCGGGCGGTGTGAGCCGCCGCGGGCTCCGAAGCCCGCAGGTGCCGGCGGGCGCGCCAGGCCTGGCTGGGAAGGGGGGCGCTGCACTCGCCATGCTGCGGGGGCCTCGGGCCCTGGCTCCGGCAGCCGGGCCACCCCCAAAGGGGCTGCCCGCGATGAGCCCCACGGAGCTGTGGCCGCCGGGCCTCAGCAGCCCCCAGCTCTGCCCGGCCACCACCACCTACTACACCCAGCTGTATCCACAGACTGTGCCTCCCGCTGCGGCGCCCGGCACCTGCCTCGACGCCACCCCCCACGGACCGGAGGGTCAAGCTGTGCGATGCGTGCCGGCTGGCCGGCTGCCGGTAATGCTGGGGACCCCTACTCACCCACACCCACCGCTTCCCTTTCTGCTTTTACGGGTGTGGGAAACGCGGGAGGGGCGCCTGGGACCTAGTCTAAGTGAGGCAGATCGAGTCTGGGGAGGCAGAAGGGTTGCTTTCAGCTTCCAGAACAACCCATTGCCCCAATATCTAAGGAGAAGAGCCTTTCCTTTTCAGACTTGGGATAAAATGAACTCATCCACTGGAGTGGAATAGAAAGAACACTGGATCAGGAGTGTGGAGACCCATTCCACGACCCCCAGTGCACCCTGTGACCTTGGGGAAATCTATGGAATCAGTTTGCTGTCATTCATTCATTCTTTCATTCATTGTTTGGTTCAGAAACCAGTACTTGGCACCTGCTATTGTCCAAGCACAGAGCTGAGCCCAGGGATACTGTGGGGGCTTTAAAACAGGAGGAGGTCTCTCAGATCCAGCTGGCCTGAGACTCTCAATTTACCATCCAGCCAACTCTTTCCCAATTATCTGCACTAGGTACCACCCCCACCCCCCACCCCCAGCCGGTCTTCTGTCCCAGACAGCCAGTAGCAGGTGCAAGGTTGGGGCAGCCCTCTGAAGTTCCTTTGCAGATGGAGTGTTCCTTTCTCAAACCCCCAGGCCTGTTGCCAGGGAGGGCCCAAAGTGGGGTGGCACCAGGCACAGGGTGTGTTTCGTGGGAGTGGAATTCCTGGAGCCCATGAAAAAGGAAACAACTGTAGGGTGGGGATGGAGTGGGAAGAGCCGTGGGGAGTGGGGGTGGTAGTTGGGGAGCCTGGTTTTTCATCCTGAGTGCCACTAATTCATGGTGTGTCCTTGAACAAGTTTTAGCCCGAGTCTGAGCTTCATTTTCCTTGTCTTGAAAATCTGTGTGTGGGGGGCGGGTACCTGTGGGACTAATTCACCTCAGTTCTCTCCCAGCTCAAGGTCCAGGGTTTTGGAAGCAGGATCGGGGAAGGAAGATGGTGGTGTTGTAGGTTGCTTTGTTGTGAGACGTGAATCAAGTTCAAGTACAGAAACTGATAAGCCCCTCTGCCCCAGTGCCTCTGATCTAGAGGCACTGATTAGACCTGTGTCAGTCAGCAGGCTTCGGCTCCCAGGCTGCAGGCAGAGCCCCCACTTCCTGCTTCTGGAATCCTGCTTTGCTCATGATCAAGGCTTTAAACTTTCAGAGCCCCTTCCTGTACATTCTTTCCAATTAGGGGGAAGGAGGCAGGAGTGCTTTTCCTATTTTTACAAGTCAAGCACCCAAGGATAACCAGGAGTTTTGCATCTATCTCTTGATGACTATTTTACGATCTAAAACAGTTTTGTACCCTAGGAAGTAGATGGTGTTAGCAGCTCCATGTTGCAGGGGGAAACTGAGTCTCAGAAAGGGGATGTAGCCTGTCTGAAGTTATATAGGGAGATACAGTCTCTTCTCTGCTTGACTTTCTCCAGTACCGCCTGATTTAGGAGCTGGGTGCCCCCAGGGAGGGGGCTCAGTGGTGGGCCCAGTCTCTCCTCTGGCCAGCTGCTTTCAGGCGACCCGGCAGAGTTTTAGTAACAGCTGTGGTTTTGAGCCGCTTGCCTCCCAGAGGAGCCGAGTGCATCTGTCTGTACCTCCCTCCCGGAGGGGCTCAGTGATCATAGCAAGAATGGCTCTTTTACTGAATGCATCTCATGTGCCAGGCACTGCTTGGCACTCTTCACATTCATTATCTTGGTCAAGATGCCTGGGATGAGGCATCTCACAGATGAGGAAACTAAGCCGAGTTGTGAAGTCACTTGTCCAGGTCCTCAGCCAAGACGTGGGAGCATCTCTTTGCCTCAGGTCACCCTAAAGGCCTCCGGGGCCCAGGGCCCCCTCTACTGCCATTCCCCGGCTGCCTGGTGTCCCGAAGCCTTGTGGGCAGGCCTTGGCCCCCTGTTTACTCACTTTCACAGGGTGTGACCAGGAGCAGCTCCAACCCCAACCCTGGGTGTGGCCACTTGCTTTGTGGCCAGGCTGCAAAGTGCAGGGTGAGGCAGGATTTGGTGGGGAGCTGCTGTTTAAAGGGACCTTAGGCACTGCTCAGGGATGGCAACCAAGATCAGTGGCAGAAAGAAGGCGGGCACCCGGGTCTCCTCGCTCCCTGGCTAGAGCTCTTTCCACCACCTGTGGGGTGATCTGGCTCCAGTCGGGCAGATGGCCTCACCCTGCCGGAGCCTGGGAAAAGGGTGGGATCCTGCAGACTTCTTTGCTTTTCATTTGTCTGTATTTTCCAAATTTCCTCTGAGAATCAGCAAAGAAAACAAGCATTTTAGTGAGCACCCCTACAAGGTGGGTCAGATGAGGAAATGTAGGCATAGGGAGGCCAGGGGGACCTCGAAGCGAAGCTCTCAGCTCCTCAACACCGGCTCCTACCCGCACCCTCTAACTTAGGACTTGGGACTCAGGAGAGACGCGGCTCCACTCCCCGTGTGATTTTGGGCAAGTCACCTCCCCTCCTCTGAGCCTGGGTTACCTCACCTGTTGGGGGTGGTGTCTGGCATCACTGGCCCTCTCGCCTCTAGGGCTGCCCGAGCAAGGAACTTCGTTCTTCTCCTGTGGGGTTGCCAGTGTGGACTGGAATCTTAATCAGGCCTTTAGATTAAGTCAGAGGGGCTGCCTAACAGGGTCAGGTTGGAGCCCAGCTGGCCTTTACTCTGAGGCACATCCCCGATGCTTTTGGGCTCACCTCTGAGCCCTCCCCTCGCTGGTGCCCCTGGTTAGCGATCACAGCTCCGTGGCATGAGCAAGCCCTGTGCTGCCCTCTCACGGGATCCCCGATGACGGGGGATGAGCAGGCATCCCCGTTCTGCTGGTGGGGCTCAGGAGGTCCGCCCGGATGGGGACCCGAGTGGCTCTGGCTCCAAAGCCTGTGCTCAGCCTCTCCTCGGTCCTCATCCTCCCCTCGGTCCTCATCCTCCCCTCGGTCCTCATCCTCCTGGGCTGGTCCTCTGCCACTTCTGCCGTCCGGGCTCAGGCGCATCCGTGCTGACTTTTCTCTGTGCAGTGCTCAAAGGTGTCAGCGAGACATACTCACAGTTTGCTGCTTACGGACCCTGAGAGTGCAGGATAAGGGTGAAGGGGAGGAAGAAGAGGGAGGGGACTGGTGTGTGCATGTGTGAAGTAGTGATGGGGGCAGATGAACACAACCAGGTGAAAGGGAGGAAGAAAAGGGAGGGGACCAGTGTGTGTGTGTGTGTGTGAAGTAGTGATGGGGGCGGTGTGTGTGTGTGTGAAGTAGTGATGGGGGCAGGTGAACACAGCCAGGTCTTGACTTGAATTTCAGCGGGTTCTTGGGCAATGTGTATGGGATGGAGCTGAGCCGTCTGGCCCAGACAGACCTGGGTTCAAACTCTGGCTGTCCTCTCTGTGTGGCCTTGGGCACATGGCTTACCCTCTCTGAGTCTCCGCTTCTCCTTCTGGAAGAGAGATTGCCATAATGAGTTAGAGCTGGTGAGCATGCGATAGGCCCCGCACGGGTACTCCGTTCAAGGCCCTCCCCTCCTTGCTCTGCAGGTCGTGTGGCTCTTCTGGTGTGTTCTGTGAACTCAGCAGAGGCTGGTTTTCTTTGGGTGGGGGTGGGGAGACCGGGCGCCATCTCTGTCTCAGGTAGAGCTCAGCCTGACTTCCCTTCCTCTCCTTGCCCTGAACTCACGAGGTCTCCATTTCTTCAGCTGTAAAGTGGGGATTCGCGGTACGGAAAAGATTCAGTGAGGTGATGAATGCTGGGACTTGGTCTAAGGCAGGTAGAAGGTCTCAGTGAATGAGTAGGACTTTTTCTATAGATAAGATGGGACTAGAGCAGGTCACCGTCCCTAGAATCTAGCATCTCCCCAGCTGGGAGGTTAGAAAAAGAATATTCCAGAGAGACTTCAACAAGAGAATTGAATAAGCTGAGAGGTGTGGCGTTTGGATAATGTCCAGGTCTGGGTGGGGGTGGAGGAGAGGAGAATCATATCCAGGCTCCTCAAACCAAGGAACAGGGCTCCTCAGATCAGTCCAGGAAGACTTCCTGGAGGAGGCATGAGGCGGGGAAAGGGAGCTGACAGCAGCAAGAGCCATCATCACCTCCCACACCTGTCAGCCCAGCTGTGATCAGCAGCAGTTAGAAGTCTCAGCCCTGTTGAGCATGACCTCACCACCAAAGGTTAAAATAGGCCTCTCTGTCTTAGCTATGGTAGGGGTGTCTAGGTGACTGGGGGAAAGGGAGAGGAAGGAAATGGGTTCAGCGACCCCCAGAATAGTTTGTCAAAGAAGAAGCTGAGATTAGCCTGAACCCCTACTGAGTGCTGAGCACTTGACAAAGGTTATCTATCTCCTTGAAGCTTTAGGACAGCCCTCATCTTACAGAGGAGGAAACAGGGGCTCCTAAATGTGGAGCGTTTCCCGAGTCACACAGCGAGCCTGTGAAGGAGTGGGGAGACCCAAGCCCGTATCTCTGACCTGTGCCCCAGTGCCCCAGTGCCCCAACCCTGCCTCTGCCCAGCCCTCGCAGGGAGAGAGGCCCCTTCCGGGCCAGCACCGCTTCTGGGCGTAATTGAGGCCGGGCGGCAGTGGGGTGGAGAGGAGCAGATGGGTCTGTGGTTTGATTTCCCCAGCAGGTGTTTCCCAAGCTTGGCGGGAACAGGGAGGGGGGAGCAGGGGGACCTCAGCTGCTTGTCCTTAAGACACAGGGGAAGGATTCATTGTCTGCCCCTCTCAGCAAAGAAAGAATGGCAAATAGAGTCTATTCAGGAGGCTCCTGGGGCCCTGGAGCTGGAGCCCAAACATGGGGGTGGGGGGATGTTTGCACTTCTCCCCCAAGTAGGCACCTCCCTGGGGTGTGGCACGGAGCCAGGAAGTCCCCTGAGCCTGGGCGGATGCCCAGCCCCACCCTGATAAAGGGCCAGCTGTGAGGCTGTGATGGGCATTCGGTCTGGCTGGGCCAGCTGCTTCTGCAAGCGGGGAGGGGGGCTCTCCCCAGCCTGATGTGGGGTAGGCCCCACCCATTCTTTCCTCCCTGTGTCATCCCTGGACGGGGTGGAGAGACGGATGCAGAAGTGACCTTGGGGCTTCTAATTAAGGAACCCTGCATTAAAACCCAGACTGGCTTTGGTAGCCTCGAGGGCCTGGGCCTCAGAAGATGGGAGTGTGGTGGGCCCCTCAGCAATAGGACTTCCTTCCCCTGAAAGCTTACTTTTCAAGTCACTGATATTTCCTTACCAGGTACAGTGATTTTTTTTCACCCAGGACTGGTGGTAAACTGAGGCAGGAGGCGGCTGCTGGCGGCCTCAGGACTTTGGCCCCAGGTCAGGGAAAGGCTAAAGCAGGAATGCTTCTCAAACTCTGCCTTTCTCTCCTCTCTCTCCCCAAGGCCAAAAGGAAGCTGGACCTGGAGGGGATCGGGAGGCCCACGGTCCCTGAATTCCGGACTCCCAAGGGGAAGTGCATTAGAGTGGATGGCCTCCCCAGCCCCAAAAGTAAGATACCCACGCCAATGGGGTATTATCTCAACGCAGGCTCAGGAGACGAGGTTGGAGTGGGGAGGGCCAGAGGGCCGCAGCGCCGGCCAAGTCACTAGGACTGATATTCGTAGCAGACTTTCTGGTTTACAAAGCAGTGTCCAATAGCTTCTCACTGGATCTTGCCAGGCAGGTTGATTATTCCCCTCTTACTGATGAGGCAGCTGGAGACCTGGAGCTTCAGTGACTTGCCCAAGGTCATACTGCTAGTCAGTGGCGTCAGGGCCAGAAGCCAGCTCCTGCCTCTTGATATTTTGAATCCGTATTCTGCTTTGAGGGCTTTCCAAGGGTGTCTCAGCAGTAAAGAATCCACCTGCAATACAGGAGACCTGGGTTCAATCCCTGGGTCGGGAAGATCCCCTGGAGGAGGGCATGGCGACCCACTCCAGTATTCTTGCCTGGAGAATTCCATGGACTGAGGAACCTGGCGGGCTACGGTCCATAGGGTTGTAAAGAGTCAGACACGACTGAGTGACTGAGCACCATCCTGGTTTGAGAGGGAGTTTGAGCAATGGTATTAACACTAATTTGGGGGAACTGAGACCTAATAAAAAAAGGTATGTGACTGGGTTGGAAGATGGAGGGTCTGGAACTTACAAGTCTGGACAGGGCCCTGACATGAGTGGTCACTCCTTAGCCGTATCATCTGTAAAACAAGGCACAGCCAGATCAGGAATAGTAAGAAAGTTTCCTCTCAGTTGACTAGTAGAGTCTTCCCAGAGTTCTTCATTGAAGGATCCCAATCAATTAGTAATGTCTGTCTTGGATGCAAAAATTGACAAAGCTGTCTGTGTGCCAAATACTTGCTATCTATATATTAAGGGGTTCTAAAGCCCCCTTCCAGAGGAATCTGAGACTCTCTAAAACTCATTTCCCAGAACTAGTTTAGCCACTAACTTGCTATATGACTTGCAAGTCACTAGATTGCAAAAGTCTTCTTGTGGTTTAAGATGCTGCAGCTGAGGTGTGGTCTTGTGACATCGACCTCATTAAGAAAGGGACCTTTTTCATGAACCTGCTGCATGTGACATAACAGGACTGATTCCTCTCAGATAATCATAGGATGACACATAGAAAGAAAAGGCAAGTCTACACTTATACAGTGCTGGATGTCAATTATATCTCAACAAAACTGAAAGAAAAAAAAAAAGCAAGTCTATAAACATGTTCTTGTCATTTCCTTCCTACCCTAATTCCAAATACCTGACATAACTAGTAGGATTGGGTAGTGGTTAGGAAGGGAGACTTTTGGAGCCAGACTACCTGGATTTAAGTGCCAACTTGGCCACTTTCTAGTTGAGGGTGTTTAGCAAATTACTTAGTCTGTCTGTGCCTCAGTATTCTCATCTGTGAAATGGGGATGCTTCCATACCAAACTTATAGGGTGTTGTAAGGATTAAATTTGTTGTATATGGGAAGTGCCTAGAACAGTGACCTACACACAGTAAGCATTTGTTGGTGGTGGTGGTGGTGGTATGGCTGCCCTGAGCTTTGGTGGAAAGGTGTGAACCTAGAGTTAGAGTATTTGGTTTCCAGCCCTGATAACGCCTCCACAATTGTGAAGCCTGAAGCAAGTCACTTTGCCTCTCTAGTTTGAACGATGTTTGAACACTGCTGGTGACTGACCACCTTCCCAGCACTCTGTAAACTGGGAAGTGGGTGCTCATGTGAAGGGTGGGGCTTAGTGGCTTCAGGTCAGTGGAGGAAGGTCCCCAGGGGCCCCTCTCTGAGCAGTGGCTGAGCCCCTTTCCTCCTCAGCCCCCAAGTCCCCCGGGGAGAAGACTCGCTATGACACATCGCTGGGGCTGCTCACCAAGAAATTCATTTACCTCCTGAGTGAGTCTGAGGATGGGGTTCTGGACCTGAACTGGGCTGCTGAGGTGCTGGACGTGCAGAAGCGGCGCATCTACGACATCACCAACGTGCTGGAGGGCATCCAGCTCATCCGCAAGAAGGCCAAGAACAACATCCAGTGGGTGTGAGTGCCTGGGCCTGGGGCAGGTGGCACCAATGCGTGCAGGTGCAGTGGGCGGGGCCAGGGGCAATAGCCGCAGGTTGCGCTGTGGGAGGCGGCCTGAGAGCAACATCCAATGGGCACACACGCTGGCTGGGGAAATCGGAGGCAACATCCAATGAGCTTACACGCTGGGGGTGGAGCCAATGTGTTTAAGAGGGGGATGGAAGCGCAACTGTATACGCTAGAATAAATGAGGAGAGCGTGGCAGGGGCAGAGAGCAATATCCAGCGCGTGTAGAAGCTAAGAGCACCCCAGATCTTTTTTTTTTATTAATTAATTAATTTTTTTCCATTTATTTTTATTAGTTGGAGGCTAATTACTTTACAATATTGTAGTGGTTTTTGCCATACATTGACATGAATCAGCCATGGATTTACATGTATTCCCCATCCCGATCCCCCCTCCCACCTCCCTCTCTACCCGATCCCTCTGGGTCTTCCCAGTGCACCAGCCCCGAGCACTTGTCTCATGCATCCAACCTGAGCTGGGGATCTGTTTTACCCTTGATAATATACATGTTTCGATGCTGTTCTCTCGAAACATCCCACCCCAGATCTTCTTGAGCCAGGGGTCCCAATATTGCCTTCTTCTAACTTAGGACAGTCCTCTGGGATGCTGAGCAGTAGTAACCTAGACTCCTTTCAGCTGAGATAAGGACTCCATCCCTCACTTCTTCAAGGTCTTATGGAACAGACCTGTAACCCCTGGCATGAGCTCTTAAGAGAACGCAGGCAGAGGAGTGAGGAGTGAGGTCACTGCAGCTCCCTGCCATTTGGAGGAGCCTGTGGCATGGGGTGGGTAACGTTGAAAGCCTCCGCCCCCCAAAAGTGGAATCAGGCCCTGACTTGTTTCTTTTCCCTAGCCCAACCCCCAAAACTCAAGTTTCAATCCCTGGCAGTTCCCCGGGAGGTAGGCAGGACCACTGATCTTTACAAGCCAGGGGGCACCTTCACAGACCCTGTGAACAGCCTCTTCCTGGAGTTTCGCCTGCCCCGCCTGTGCAGCTTGGCACCACAGCCCTGGGGTGGGGGGCCCTGGGTGAAGACTGAGACTGACACCGTTGGGTGGGACGGCTGTTCTGTCCCCAGAGGCCGGGGGCTGTTTGAAGACCCCACGCGGCCTGGGAAGCAGCAGCAGCTGGGGCAGGAGCTGAAGGAGCTGACGAGCATGGAGCAGACCCTGGACCAGCTCATCCACAGCTGCTCTCTGAACTTCAAGCACCTGACGGAGGACAAGGCCAACAAGAGATATCCTCCTTGGTTGGGAAGAAGGGATCTGGGGGCAGGGGGCCTGTGGCATGCTCGTGACCACCCAGAGCTGATGCAGAACCTCTCAGAGGGGCTGATCCACCCCAGGGGTCTGGCGTTATCACCGAAGAAAGACTTCCTTGGTAGCTTTTCCTCTTGGGTCTATTGAAGTTACTTTCTCACGATAAAAAGAAAAGACAAGTACGTTTCCGTAAATCTGGAAAATGGAGAAAACATAGTATATGGAGAAAAATAAATAGAGTGTGTACCTGCTGTACACAACGTTTTAATATATCCTGCTTTTCTCCACTTGGCTTCACTGGTGGCTCAGATGGTAAAGCATCTGTCTGCAGTGCAGGAGACCCAGGTTCGATTCCTGGTCAGGCAGGAAGATCCCCTGGAGAAGGCAATGGCAACCCACCCCAGTACTCTTGCCTAGAAAAATCCCATGGACGGAGGAGCCTAGTAGGCTACAGCCGATGGGGTCGCAAAGAGTTGGACATGACTGAGCGACTTCACTTTCACTTTTTTCCTCCACGTAGCATATTACCATAGGTGGTTTTTACGTTGTTATACATCCTTCCTAATTATTTTGGTTGATTCACTTGAAATTGGTATTGGACCATTTTTTAAGCTATAAAAAGCAGCAGTTTCATATGGTTTAACCACATATTTTAAATGGTTTGAGAATGTCCTACTGAGCCCACTGTGGTTTGTTGACAAGACCTAGAACGGGCATTGAGACCAGTTCTAGATTTCTGCGTCTGTAGAGCAACATTGTGATGAATATCTTTATAGATAGAACCCTTTCCTGAGTTTTTTTACTTATTTCCCTGGGTTAGATTCTTAGGACTGACTCACTGAGGTCAAAGAGCATAAATTTTGCAGTGGCTCTACATGCAGTTTCCCCAAATGGTTTGGCCATCTAATTGGCATTTGGATCTGACCTTATATTTTTGTAAGGATGGGAGGCATTGTGAGAAATATAAAGAAATAAGACAGAGCTTATAATCTGGCTTAACAGTTGAAGCCATTATGTAAAAAGCTGATATAAGGCTGCTGCTGCTGCTGCTGCTAAGTCGCTTCAGTCGTGGCCGACTCTGTGCGACCCCATAGACGGCAGCCCACCAGGCTCACCCGTCCCTGGGATTCTCCAGGCAAGAACACTGGAGAGGGCTGCCGTTTCCTTCTCCAGTGCGTGAGAGTGAAGTCGCTCAGTCGTGTCCGACTCGTTGAAATCCCATGGGCTGCAGCCCACCAGGCTCCTCTGCCCATAGGATTTTCCAGGCAAGAGTACTGGAGTGGGTTGCCATTTCCTTCTCCAGTGCGTGAAAGTGAAAAGTGAAAGTGAAGTCTTTCAGTCCGACTCTTAGCGACCCTATGGACTACAGCCCACCAGGCTCCTCTGTCCGTGGGATTTTCCAGGCAAGAGGACTAGTGTGGGGTGCCATTGCCTTCTACATGATATAAGGCAGCATTATTTATTTTTTTTGGTCACACCACGTGGCAAGTGGGATCTTAGTTCCCTGACCAAGCATCGAACCCACAGCCTCTGCATTTGAAGTGCAGTCTTAACCACTGGACTGCCAGGAAAATCCCTAAGGCAAATTTTAAAACCAATGATTTATGCCCCTATTTCTCAAGGGGTTCAATGTAGCTCATGATATTAAAAGCACAGGTTATAGTTAGGGGATGGTTAGAGGCTTGAGAGGTGGGTTCAGATCCCTGCTGGGCAGCCTGGGAATTTGAATTTCGACCCAACAGTCGCTTCTCTTGACTCCCCTGCCCCTACGCTGGCCTACGTGACGTACCAGGACATCCGTGCTGTGGGCAACTTTAAGGAGCAGACGGTGATTGCGGTCAAGGCCCCTCCGCAGACGAGACTGGAGGTGCCTGACAGGAGCGAGGTGAGAGGGGAGGCGTCTGGTGGAGGGCAGGGCCAGGGACATTCCAGGCAGCCCTGCGGGTTCTGTCCCCGGCACTCCCCGGGCCCAGGCTTCGCAGGTCCGTGCTGGTGGCCTTGGCAAGGCTGATGGCCTCCGAGCTGGGGCAGAAGAGGCAGAAGCTGGCAAGGGCATCAGGTACCGGCCTGAGAAAGCTCTCTGTTCCCGGCCTCCCTCCGCCTCCCGCCGGCCAGAGTTCCTGTGCACACCCGCACGTGCACCCACACACAGCGCTGTCGGCACTCACAGCGATCCTCCCCTGTTCACCGTGCCCTCCTAGGTTAAAGACCAGCGTTCTTTACACACCTTAGGAGACCGTCTGAGCCCTGACCCCTCCAACCTCCTCTCTGCTGCTCCTGTCCTGGCTTCACTCCTGCCACCCCGACCTGCCTGCAGTCCCCACACCACGCTAAGCTCAACCCCAGTACAAGAGCTTCTGACGTGCTGTTCCCTCCAGCCGAAATGCTCTTCCCTCTCTCGGCCTCATTATTTCTGTTTGGGTTTTAGTTGCAGCACACGGGCTCTCTTGCAGCACCGACCCCAGAGCGCGTGGGCTTGGTAGTTGCCGCACGTGAGCTCTAGGGCACGTGGGCTCTTAGTTCCCCAACCAGGTTCCTTGAACCCTCGTTCCCTGCACTGGAAAGCAGATTCTTAACCACTGGACCCCCAGGGAAGTCCCTCTCTGCCTGGTTTACGGCTGTTCATCCTACAGGTTGAAACGTGAACATCACCTCCTCAGGAAGCCTTCCTTGATTACTCCCCAGCTGCATAACCACCTGTCCTCCGTCACATTTAACCTCCATTGGCCAGGATGTATTGAAGATTACATAATTACGTGCCGCTTCCTTTATTAGAGGGTAACCTCCACAGAACCATGTTCCACTCATGTTTTACTCCCAACCCAGAGTCTAATAAGGGCTCAGGACGTTATCTGTTTAGCAGAAAAGCATTAAGATAAATAAGGGCCCTGCCCTTTGAAGAATCTCAGGACTTGGTGGGAAAAAGAGCCAGCCAAGCAAGCAGTGACGCTGTCTTGCTTTGAGGGCCTGGAGGAAGGAGAGTTGGAGGAAGGGCCCACAGGTGATGACAGGTAAACTGAATCCTAAAGAATGAATAGGAAAAAAAAAGAAAGAAAAAAAAGAATGAATAGGGTCTTTGCCAGGAGAAGTAGGGCCAGGCAGAGGGGCTGCCTGGGCATAGGTGCATACACCCAAATACCATCAGGAGCAGCACCTCTGTTATCGGCTGTGGCTTAGGTTGGTTGAGGCAGGCAGGAAGCAAGGGCGGGAAAGCCAAATATCAGTCTCTCAGTTACAGACAGCCACGTCCAGCCCGCTTCAGTGAGGGGCACCCCAGGGGAACCAAGTGACGGGTCCAGGGGAAGATTTTGGGGATTGCAGGCAAGGCTGGATTCAAGCGCTCAAACTGGGACTTCAAGTTGGCCTCACACCCTCCGTCTCTCTCTCTCTCTCTCTGCCATACTCTGGGCCAGCTCCCCCTTGCAGTAGCAAAGACAGCTTTTATGATACCAGCTCAGGCCTGAGAGTAGGGGAGGAGTGGTTTCTCAAAGGAAAATCAAAGCTTTCTCCCTAAAAGAAGGGGTGGGGGAGGTCTTGGGCCCAGACAGCTCTCTGCCACAGGCCACACTGGGTAGGCCCAGCGCCCAGCTCAGGGGCTGCGCGCTCGCATGGACGTTGAGAGCCTCGTGTGTCTGTCCACACACGCTGAGCCATGAGTAAGTGCCCTGGCGCCCAGACCCACGACCTGGCTTCTCTCCCTTCTCCAGGAGAACCTGCAGATATATCTGAAGAGCACACAGGGGCCCATCGAGGTCTACCTGTGCCCGGAAGAGGTGCAGGAGCCCCACAGTCCTGCCCAGGAGCCCCTCCCCTCCACTTCCGTCCTCAGCCCCGGCCCTGACTCCACCCAGCCCAGCAGCAGCAGCGACCCTGGGGTCACGGAACCCACGGCATCCTCCGGTGAGACCTCCTGTCCAGAGGGACAGGAGATGGGTGGGGCACCAGCCTTCGAGTCTTCCTCTTCCGTATCAGCGTTTGTGGGATAACCTCCCTTCTACCCAGCAACAGGGAGACAGTCCTTCCCTCTACGTGTGTGCATTGCACATTACACTTTATAAAGCACCCATACATCCCTCGTCTCAATGGGAACACTGATGTTGCTCTGGGCAGAGGACGGCCTGTGTTCGAATCCCAGCTCTTCTACTTACCAGCTGTATGATCTTGGACAAGTTTCTTAACCTTTCTTTGTCTTAATCTCCTCATCTGTAACTTGGGCATAGTAATTAATAGGGTCTACTTCACAGGTTGTGAAAATTAAATGAGTTAATAAATATAAGGAAGGTGGGGACTTTCCTGGTGATCCAACAGTTAAGACATCACGCTTCCAATGCAGGGGACACAGGTTTGAATCCTGGTTGGGGGGACTTGAGATCCTGCATATTGCAAGGTGTGGCCAAAAACTACGTATATAGGTAAAGCATTTAGAACAATGCCTGGCGATAACTGGCCATATTGTTTATTAATAGCAATAATAATTACCTATTATTATCATTATGGTGGTCTCTGCCATTAGTCCTGCTACTTCTGTAACAACTAATAGCAAAGCTCCTTGTCACTCAATCAGCCCTTGGTAAATGGAAACTGTAGGTTTTCCGAGGAAGGCTCAACAATGGACTCAGTTGCTGTGGAACACAGGATTAGTTGCTGTGATATGTGTGATCTTCCTGGACCAGGGATTGAACTCATATCTGCTGCATTGGCAGGTTCATTCTTAACCACTGGACCACCAGGGAAGTTCTTAACACTTTCTTAGGAGATGATAGCAAAGGTTTTTTGAACCACAACTATGTCTCAAGGACATCCATTATCACATAACTCCTCACATCAATTCTTGGGGTGGTTTTTATTGTCCCAGTTTAGAGATAAATAAACTGAAACAGAGTTGATGTGACCTGCCCAAGGCCTCCCAGCTGGAAGGCAGTGGAACTGTATCTTGAACCTTGGTCTCCACACTCATAGCCCAGGAATCTCTCCACCAGGCACAGAACAAATCAAGGAAGGACGGTGGCTGGGAGGTGGGTGGTACAGCTATAAGCTGCCTACGCCTGGCAAGAGGTAGAATGAGGCTGTTGCCAAGAAGTAAGGAAGGGGGAGAGTCCCTGAGGGCTTCCCAGGGAGACTGGGAGTTGGGTAGGAGTAGAAAGGGGAGCCTCTGCAAGGCCTGTCCCTCCAAATGGTTTTTGCCCTTTTTGTTTTCTTAGCAGCAGAATTCCCCTAAATAGAACCCTGGTGTTTAAACAAATGCAGAGCTAGAACTGGTCTGGTGGAAAAGGCTTTTTTTTTTTTTTGTGGTCGTGTGGCTTGTGAGATCTTAGTTCCCCGACCAGGGATTGAACCCAGGCCATGACAGGGAAAGTGCCGCGTCCTAACCACTTGACTGCCTGGGAATTCCCTGGAAGAGGCTTTTTGTGTGTGTGGTGGATGGGAGCAGGTATCTACAGAACACAGATTGGATTCCCTTTCTTTAACTCAAGGGTTAACAAAACTATTGCCTGCAGACCAAATCTGACCTGTTTTTATATGACCCATAAGCTGAGAATGGTTTTCATAGTTTTAAAAAGTTGAGGGTTCAGGGTAGGGCAAGTGATGTGTGTGTGGCAGAGACCATACATGTCTTGCAAAGCCCAAAATACTATCTGGCCCCTTTACAGAAGTTTGTTGACCCCTGTTTTAACTCAACGCTTCATCTTATACAGAGCCCAGAGAGGGCAAGTGACTTTCCTATGGTCACACAGCAAGATAGCAACAGGGCTTAGACAAGAGCCCAGACTGCCAGTTCTTCTCTAGTGATCTCTCCTGGGTCCGGGCCTGGTCCGGGGCCCAAGGTTCTCCCTGCATCAGCCATCTGTCCCCCTGGGCACCTCCCAGTGCCTATCTCCCGGTCCAGACCTGTGCCCCACCCTGTTTTCCCTCCTCCTGCAACGCTCTGCTTTTTCACTGCCCTGTCAACATGTGCGTGGCCCTCCAGACTTAGAGCCTTCAGTTCTGAGACCTTGGGCAGAGGTGGTAGACCTGAATGCAGAATCTAGGGCAAGGTTTTTACCTCACTCGTACAAGTCAAGAGCCCGAGGCCCCAGAGGACTAGAGGTTTACAGAAGAGCTGATGGAGGGGCCAGCTCTGTGCCAGGGCCCGTGCCCTTGCCACCCCCTCCACCCTTGTCACATGGTCTCTTAGTGATGTCCCTGCTGAGAAGAGTTTTCCAGAAGGTATTATACACACACACACGTGCACATGCTCCACATTCTGGCTTGAAGCAGGGTCATCCTGAGGTCCAAGGGCCAGGTCCAAAGAGGAAGTCACTGCTGTCTTGGGACCCAGGTTCCCATCCTGGGAAGGGATGGTTTCCCAGTTCTGGAATCACCAGGGGAATCACAAACACTTTGGGACCTTGCTTCCTTCATCTGTAACGGGACGGTTGGAACCTGGGTCGTTGAACATCCCTCTAGGCTGTGACATTAAACCTACACGTGGCTGAGGGTGCCCCAGCTGAAGTTGGGAGGCTTGGGTTCAAGTCTGCGCTTCCCCTTCTATGACGGGGTGACGGTGGGGGAGCCGTTTTAACCCCTCTGAGCCTCTGTTCCCACGTTTCTAAAACAGAGATGCTAAAACTCCCTTGTGATGTTTGGGTGCGTTTCAGGCGAGGATACAGTGTGAATGTGACTTTTTAAAAGTTTATGTGAGCTGAACACCTACTATGTGTGGGTTTGGAGATGTTTAAGTGGATACGAACCATTCAGGGTACAGGGGAGGCACAGATGTTACAAAGAGCAGCTCTCTGCTGGATGTAATCAACAGCGAGAGAGAGAGAGAGAGAAAGGAGGAGAGAGAGAGGGGAAATGAACAGATGGATGGATGGGTGGGTGGGTGGATGAGAGGAGCCTGACCTGGGGTCGAACTTCTCACAAGTGACAGCTCAGTAACTGCTTCCACAACTCAGGGAGGTGGGTCCTTATTTTTCTGGGTGGGAAAACCGAGGTGCTGGGTCCTGTTGCCAGTGAAAGGGGCTAGCGTCTGAGCACTCAGTCTTTTTCCTTGCTCCCAAGCCAGGCCTCTTAACACCTGCAGGCCTCTGCAGTGTGCTAAACAAACTTTCTTTTTTTTTTTTTTCATGCAAATACTACGTTTGATTGGCTTCTTTGAGCTTCAGTGTCCTCATCTGTAAATAGACATCATAACAATGCCTCCCTTGGGGCTGCTTGAGTGTCTCAGGGGGTGCAACAGACCTCTCCTTGAGAGGAGAGCGGGGTCTGGTAAGCCCTTGGTGGTGGTTTAGTCACTAAGTCATTTGCAACCCTTTGCGACCCCGTGGACTGTAGCCCGCCAGGCTCCTCTGTCCATGGAATTCTCTAGGCAAGAATACTGGAGTGGGTTGCCATTTCCTCCCCCTGGGGGTCTTCCTGACCCAGGGATTGAACCTGCATCTCCTGCATTGGCAGGTGGATTCTTTACCACTGAGCCACCTGGGAAGCAAGCCCTCGGTAAACGGGATCTATTATTATTTTTCAGAAGGGCAGCCTACAGACCAGCTGTTCTTTAGCTTCACTTACCATTTAAGCCTCTCAACAATCAGAGGCAGGTATCATCATTCCCATCTTCAGTCAGTTCAGTTCAGTCGCCCAGGAATGTCCGACTTTTTGCGACCCCATGAACCGCAGCACTCCAGGTCTCCTTGTCCATCACCAGCTCCCAGAGTCCACCCAAACCCATGTCCATCGAGCCGATGATGCCGTCCAGCCGTCTCATCCCCCATCGTCCCCTTCTCCTGCCCCCAATCTTTCCCAGCATCAGGGAAATTCCCATTTTAGGGGTGAGGAAACGGAGACCTGTGAACGCTGTCATCTGCCCACACAATTATACAGTTTGCTTGAGGTTTGTGTGTGTGTGTGTGTTGTTTGTTTGTTGTGATTCTAGGGATTTTTCATGAATTTTATTTTATTTTCCTTCCATCCATTTAAAAAAATATTTATTTGGCTGCATCAGGCCCTAGTTGAGACATGCAGGATCTTTGTTGCATCATACAATGATCTTTCATTGCAGCACGCAGGCTGTGTGCGGGCTCAATTGCCCCACAGCATGTGGGATCTTTGTTCCCCAACCAGGGATCAAACCTGCATCCCCTGCCTTGCAAGGCAGATTCTTAACCCCTGGGCCACCCAAGAAGTCGCCCAGCTCGGAGGTTGATCAGGCAATCTGGCACACCAGCATGGTTGTATTTTCAAAACAATGCTTGGTTGGTAAGGACCAATTCAGGTGGTGAGATTCTGGGTGTCAGGGTATATTTGGCAGGGGATTTCCAGTGCCCTGCTCCACATGCCTGTGTAGGGAATCGCCTCCTTACATCTAAGTGGAAATGCACTGGGTATGCTGAAGAGAGAGGTGGGCGTGAGCTGTGGAAGGTAGGCGGGAGAGAGAGAACAGAAAGGGAGGCCGGGATCAGATCGTACAGAGCCTACTCAGTCCTGGTGGGAACTTGGATTTTATTCTGTCTTTTTTTTTTTTTTAAAGAAAAAACTTTTTGGTGGCCCCACACAGCTTGTGGGATTTTAGTTCCCTGACCAGGGGCTGGACCCAAAGCCCTTGCTTTGGAAGCGCAGAGTCTCAACCACTGGACCACCAGAGAAGTCTCTCTAAGCCATTTTTAAGTCAGAGCATAGACTGAGGGCCAAGAGTTGAAGCGAGAAGACTGGTGAGGCGGCTCTGGCAGAGACCTGAGTGAGGTCCGGAGGTCTGGGATGAGCCCCAGACCACAGTAGCGGGGCTGAAGAGCCAGTGGGCAGCGTGGAGGGTTAGCGTGGTTGTGGAGGTGGCCAGACTTGTGGAGGTGCTGGGTTAGATTCGGGGGAAATGGCAGGATTTCAGATGATTCTTGGGCCTTTTGGCCTAAGCCCAACTAAGTGGCTGAAAGTCTCTCAGTCGTGTCTGACTCTTTGCGACCCCATGGACTATACAGTTCTCGGAATTCTTCAGGCCAGAATACTGGAGTGGGTAGCCTTTCCGTTCTCCGGGGGAATCTTCCCAACCCAGAGATCAAACCCAGGCCTCCTGCATGACAGGTAGATTTTTTTACCAGCTGAGCCACCAGGGAAGCCCAAGAATACTGTGGTGGGCAGCCTATCCCTTCTCCAGCGATCTTCCTGCCCCAGGAATCGAACTGGGGTCTCCTGCATTGCAGGCAGACTCTTTACCAACTGAGCTATCAGGGACGCCCAACTAAGTGGGTGGGGGTTTATTGAATATGATGGGGGAAGACTCAGGTTTGGGGAGTTGGACTATAAAGAAAGCTGAGCGCCAAAGAATTGATGCTTTTGAACTGTGGTGTTGGAGAAGACTCTTGAGAGTCCCTTGGACTGCACGGAGATCCAACCAGTCCATCCTAAAGGAGATCAGTCCTGAATATTCATTGGAAGGACTGATGCTGAAGCTGAAACTCCAATACTTTGGCCACCTGATGTGAAGAACTGACTCACAGGAAAAGACCCTGACACTGGGAAAGATAGAAGGCAGGAGGAGAAGGGGGCGACAGAGGATAAGATGGTTGGATGGCAATACTGACTCAATGGACATGAGTTTGAGTAAACTCCAGGAGCTGGTGATGGACAGGGAGGCCTGGTGTGCTGCAGTCCATGGGATCGCAAAGAGTCAGACACAACTGAGCGACTGAACTGAACTAAACCGGGAGTGTGGTTTGACATGCTGAGCTCTGATGTTTCGTAGACACCAAGTAGAGATGAAGCAGGAGCCCAGAGCCTGGCAGTGGGGGCCAGGCTGGAGGTGTCCACCTGGGAGCAGTAGGTCTGGAGACAGATATAAAGCCATGGGCTGGCTGAGATCACCTGGGCAGGAGTGAAACCAAAAGAGAGAAGAATCAAAGGATGGGGCCTCTGGGCTTCAGGGTTTAGAAGTTGGGAAGAGGAAAGGAGATCAAGGAGAAGCGGCCAAAGAGGTAGGAGGAAAAGCAGGAGAATCTAGTACCTCTGAAGCCAAGGGAAGAACATGTTTCCAGAAAGTTGTGAATGACTGCGTGTGATTCTGCTGGCAGGTCAAATAGGATGAGGTCAGAGAACCGACCACTGGATTTAGCAACATGGAGGGCACTGGTTCAGTGGCGTGGTGGGGACAGACCCCAGATTGGAGTGGGCTGAAGCATGAATAGTGGTGGGGAAGTAGGGAGTGAACACGGGAAACTTTTTTTTTTTTGGCCGCGCCAGGTCTTAGTTATGGCATGCGAGATCTTTAGTTGCGACATGTTAACTGTTGCGGCATGCAAGATCTCGTTTCCTGACCAGGGATTGAACCCCAGCGCCCCGTACTGGGAGCACAGAGTCTTAGCCACTGGACCACCAGGAAAGTCCAATGGGTAACTCTTGAGAAACTTCACTGCAAAAGGGAGCAGTATAATGGGCTGGTAATTAGGGAGAGTCATGAGGTCAGGGGAGGAATGCTCTTTAAAGAAAGAGTTATTAAAGGATGTCTGTGCGTCAACAGGAAAGACCTAGGAGAGTGAGAAGTGTTGATGATGCAGGAAAAAAGAGAACAGTGAATGACTTCAGGGGTGGGGGCCTTGATGGTGAAAGTGGTGAGGGTTGGGAGCAGAAGCTGGGGGTGCGTGCAGGGACAGAAGAGAGGAGAGAGTGCGGGTGAAGGAGCGGGGCGCTGCTGGAGCTGGGGTGGGAAGGGGAGGTGTCCTGTGCCGTCGGGAGAGGGCCAGGATGGGAGACACGTGCAGGGTGCACAGCTACCCAGGGAACCTAGAGGCGGTTCTTGTTCTCAGAGGTCTGACCGGCGGAGGCTTTGGTGGGGCACTGGACTGGGCATAACCCTGTCTGTCTGTCTGTCTGCAGAGCCAGCACTGACGTCCCCGCAGGTCCTGCCGCCGCCGCCGCCGCCCCCCCTGCCGCCCCTTGTCCCCCTGGAGGCCACGGAGAACATGCTGGAGCTGCCGCACCCGCTGCTGCAGCAGACAGAGGACCAGTTCCTGTCCCCGACACTGCCCTGCAGCTCCCCTCTGATCAGCTTCTCCCCACCCTTAGACCAGGATGACTACCTGTGGGGCCTGGATGGCGGGGAGGGCATCAGCGACCTCTTTGACACCTACGACCTCGGGGACCTGCTGATTAGCTGAATTGGCGCTGCCTGCACCCCCCACTCGCCCTGGGCAGCCCGGCCCATTTCTACCTCCTCACAGGACGTGAGACATGAGGTGCTGCCCTCAGAGTGGAAGGGATCCCCCCGCCCCTTCCTTTCCTACCCACCTGCCAGTCGATGCTGTCCCGGGGGAGGTGGAGGATACGGGGCGGGAGCCCAGCAGGGGTGAGGCCCTGTCCTTCCTCCTGGAAGCCGGGCCTGGGAAGGCCTGGTCGGTCTCCTGATCTCTGACCTCTTGCCTGAAGGGCTCTAGAGGAGGGGACTGGGTCCAAGGAGAGGCCCAGCGACTGCCTTTTTGAGGGGCCACTAGGTCCCTCAGTTTATCGAGAAGCACTTAATGCCTTTGTATTTATTGCAGGTTGAGTTTTGTTTGTCTGCCCTCCCTGAGTTTTAGCAGGGAGGTGGTTCTAGTTTCTAGTAAGACTGCTCCTCAGACATGCCCAGCGCCGTCTGCTGTCCAAGGGCAGGCTGGGGGCTTCCAGGGGCCCAGGCCAAATCCCCAACTGCCCTCAACACAGCGGGCTGGGCCCGAGGGCCCATCCAGTCTTCTGGAACGTCAATTGCACTTCGGCCTCCTCACTCCAGCGAGAGGGAGCCGCTGGATTCCCATTCTCTGTCCCAGAGCTGGGGTTCCTGGTGGGGGGAGGTCAGCCCTGAAGAGCTCCTGGGGAAACAGGGGCAGGAACACAGAAGCGGGAAATGTTGCTATAGGCACCTTTGCTCTGTGGTTGCCTCTCACTGGGACAGGTTGCCTCTCACTTTAACACTGAAGACATGGGAGGCTAAGGCAGCCTTACTGTAGACAAGGGTGAGATGAAAGGAAGAAAGTGCCAGAAAGTACCTCTTGCGGTAGCTGCTGGTATGGGCCTCCCCATTCCCAGAAGCATTTTTTTTTGCCGCATTCGTTGAAGGGGGTGATTAAGGACCTCCCCTTGCCCCCAGCTCTCACACAGACCCCCCTAGAGACAGAAGTGACCATGGCTTGATGGCACGTTGGCTCCTTTTGTCACAGGATGTTGAAAAGGTGACAGGGAAGGGTCTTCATTGCAGACCAAACATTGGCAGCTAACAAATGGGGATATGTTTGTTTGATTACAGTCAGATTACCTCTTCAGGCTTGGGGTCCTATTAATAAGCCGGTCTTTTGACCTCCTCCCCATCCCCCAGAGGCTGGACCAACCCATGCTGTCCATATAGCCCAACTGGGTAGCGAGGAATCAGCTCTCCTTCCCCACCCAACTTGGGGTGGGGGTGCTCTGGGTGAAGCCAGGCTATGCCTTCTGGAGAGAGGCAGCCTGGGGTGTTGGTGGCCTGAGAGACCCACTACCCACCCACCCTCAGGCAGCTAGGTTTCCTCAGGGGCTCAGCAGGACAGCACTTTTTTTATTTTTTAAGTTTGTAGCATTAAGTTGGTTTCAAATATGAAGTTGGCTCCATGGGGTTGCTCCTGAGCTGACCTACTAGCATCTGAAGTTTGGAAGGTGGGCTTCTTTGGGGGTGGGGTCCGATGTGAGCTAACACCCAGCTGGGGATGGTCAGGCCTTGTCATTGACCCAACTTCCTGGTCCTCAAGTCAGCACCCTCTCAGGAATGGTCCCAGCTACCCCAGTCTATAAACAGGGCCAATTGTTTGCCTTTTACAGAGGTGCGTGTCACCTTCCCTCTCCAGATACAGGGGTCTCAGCAAAAGTCAGTTTGGAAGCCCAACATGCCCAGGGCCAAGGGACTCCCCCTGGGTCCTTGGGTGGAGGGAAGGGGGTGCTTCCTGGGACCTGGTTTGGGGTGTGTGGGGCTGGAGATGGCATGACTGTAGTGAGATGGTTTAGCTATGTGCCATCTCGGAGGACGGAGACCTTTGACTTCCATGCCTGGGGCACTGGCTGGAGCTTTCTCCTAGAATTAAATCAGAGAAAAAAGGAGAAGAGGCTGGCAGGACCCACCAGGAATGAATCTAATGATGAAGTCCAGCCAGAATTTAAGCTCATTCCCCAAAAGCCCAGCCACAGGGCCGGACAGAGGGGCTGCCCCTTGGGCCCATGGCCTGTATCCAGAGCAGCTGTCCCCGCCCCCTCCACACCCAGCCTGGCCCAGGGCCTGGACCACCCCAGGCCAGTCCTCAGGTTCCAGGCAGGAAACAAGTTCGTGCCTCTTTCTTGCCAGTGACGCCTGAAACCTCCCAAGTTCCATCAAGTGCTTTAAAAAGCATTTTGAGTGGAATTCCCTTTAGGGGCCCAATAAACTTTAAAACCAGGGTAGAAGAAAAGCCAGTTTCTTTCTGAGGTACTTTATTTCTGCCAGGAAATCTCCCAGTCCCTCTGGCAGCACCCCTGTCACTTATGCCCCCAGGGGCACCTGAGACACAGGGGCTGCCAGGAACCCAGTAGCATTAAGTCGTCTGGTAGAGTTGTTTGGAGATTTGAAGACATTTCTTAAAACCAGCGTAGCCTCCCTTCTCCACGGCCACACTGAGGTCTGAGCAGTGCGGCCACAGGGAAGAGGAGGAAGTTGCAGCACATTAAAGCTGGCTGTCCTGTGATTTTGACTTCATTTCTCCTTTCCAGGTGTTCGGTCTCAGTTCTGTGCTGTGTTTAGTTTTTAGTGAAAGAGTTTGGGTGTTCCTGTGTCCGAGCATTGTGTGGCTTAACGCATTTGAAGTGAAAGCCTTTTGGGGTTGTTTGCAAGCAGCTTTCTGGTTCTTGTCACTGCGTCCTGAAGTCCCTGCCTCATCCTTGGGGCTCTCGATGAGCAGAAACCCGGCCAGCAAGCTGCTGGCTCCTGGATGGGGCCTTGGACGTGACACCAATGTCCAGAGGGAACCTGGTCCCGGCGCTGGGATTCCATGCGGGTCACTTATCTCCAGCCTGGTTTCCGGTCCTGCTTTGACGAGCACCATGTGAAACCTCATGTTGCGATGATTGGGCATTAAACGACAAACCTGGGCCCCTTGTGTCTGTTGTGCTTTCTGCAGGTCATGACCAGGGCTGGGTCTGGGCCCCCCAGGTCGGGGGTGGGGACTATTCTGACCAACTGGCTGATCCAGCCCCCCAAAACAGCCTCCCTCTTCTCCACTGGCTTATTACCATGCCTGAAATGTCACCAATAAGACACTGGAGTTGGCACCAAGGTCTAAAATGTGAACCCCTGCCCTATATTGCCTCCATCATCTCTCACCTGAGCTATTTCGGTAGCTTCCTTACTACTCTCACTGCTACCCACTCTGCATCTCAACCTCTGTATCAGTGGTTCTCAAAGTGTGGCCCTCAAACCAGCATTCCCTGGGAACTTGTAAGAAATGTATATTCTCAGGCCCCACCTTAGACCTTCTGAATAAGAAGAAACTGATTCAGAGTGGGACTCTGAATCTGTCTTAACGAGCCCTCCAGGTGATTCTAATTCAGGCGATGTCAAACTATGCCCCTCCACTAACCCGGAGAAGTCCTAAATTCTTATTTATTTTAGGCTGCCCCACGCAGCACATGGAATGTTAATTCCCCGGTCAGGGACTGAACTCGTGCCCCCTGCATTGGAAGGCAGTCTTAGCCACTGGACCACCAGGGGAAACCCCGCAGAGATCCGTCTAACATAGCTCATCACGTCTCTGCCTGCTTAATGGGTGGCCCCTCTGCCCTCAGGATGAAACGCCCCTTTACTTGGTGTGAACATCCATTCCCAACCCTCCAACTGGCTTACTCTACCTTTCCAGCCTTACTGACCACTCCCCACAACCTGTAGCCACACTGGACTTCTTTGTCAATTCCTGTAAACAGCAAGTTTTCCCCCTTCTCTGCATTTCACTGGGGCAGGCTCTTGCTTATTCAAGGCCCAGTTTAGTTTTTTGTAGAGGTTTTCCTTGACACTGGTACATAGTCATTAATACTTTGTACAGTTGATATGGTCTTTTATGGGTTATTGAAGACCTACTAAGTACTGGGGAGCTAGAAATGAATAAGAATAGTCCCCATCCTCAGGATGATCACAAGACACAGAAATATAATCAGGGACTTGTATCTAGAATATGGGGCTTCCCTTGTAGCTCAGGTGGTAAAGAATCTGCCTGCAATGCAGGAGACCTGGGTTCACTTCCTAGGTTGGGAAGATCCACTGGAGAAGGAAATGGCAAACCACTGCAGTATTCTTGCCTGGAAAATCCCCATGGACAGAGGAGCCTGGCAGGCTACAGTCAATGGAGGTCGCAAGAGTCGAACACGACTTAGCGACTAAACCACACCACACCACATCTAGACTATAGAAGGAACTCTGGTGTGCGTGCTAAGTCGCTTTAGTCGTGTCTGACTCTTTGGGACCCTGTGGACTGTAGCCTGCCAGGCTTCTCTGTCCATGGGATTCTCCAGGCAAGAATACTGGAGTGGGTTGCATTTTCTCCTCCAGGGGATCTTCCTGACACAGGGATTGAACCCAGGTCTCTTACGTCTCCTGAATTGGCAGGTGGGTTCTTTACCACTAGTGCCACTTAGGAAGGCCAGAATGAACTCAAAATTTAATAAATATATATAACCCAACTAAAAAAATGTACAAAGGATATGAATGGGCTTTTCTCCGAAGAAGATATACAAATGGCCATTAAGTACGTGAAAATATTCACAACCTCATTAGCCACCCACCAGGGAAGTGTAAATCGAAACTACGAGATACCACCTCATATCTACTAGGATGGCAATAATCAAAAAGATAATATTTAATAACAAAGCTGAGGATGTAGAGAAACTGTAACCCTTGTACGCTGCTAGTCAGAATGTAAAATAGTACAACCACTGTGGGGAAAAGTCTGGCAGGTCCTCAAACCTTTGAACATAAACCCACCATGCAACCCGAGTAATTCTACCCCTAGGTATATACCCGAGAATTGAAAACATTCACACAAAAACTTGTACACAAACATTCATGGGAGAATTATTCATAATAATCCAAGAATGGAACAACTCAAATGTCTATCAATTGATGAATGGATAAATAAAATGTATTCACATAGTAATGGAATACGTGTGTGTTAAGTTGCTTCAGTCATGTCCGACTCTGCGACCCCATGGACTATAGCCCGCCAGGCTCCTCTGTTCATGTGATTTCCCAGGAAAGAATACTGGAGTGGGTTGCCATTTCCTTCTCCAGGGGATCTTTCTGACCCAGGGATCAAACCCAGGTCTCCTGCATTGCAGGTGGATTCTTTACCATCTGAACCACCAGGGAAGCCCATAGCAACGGAATATTATTTAGCAAATAAAAAGACATAAATCACTGGTTTATACCGCAACATAGGTGAACCTTGAAAACCTGCTAAATGAAAGAAGCCAGACATAAATGGTAACAGAATATTATTTCATTTATATGAAATGTCTGGAATAGGCCTATCTAGGGACTGGAAGCAGATTAGTAGCTGCTTAAGGCTTTCAAGGAAGGGAGAAGAGGAGTGACTGCTAATGGGAACAGGGCTTTGTTGGGAGGGGGCCATGGAAATATTCTAAAATTGGTGTGGCAATGGTTGTACAGCTCCATGAATATCCTAAAGCACATTGAATTGTATACTTCAAGTAGTTGCATTGTGTGGTATGTGAATTATATCTCAACAAAGCTATTGCTTTACAAATGGAAATAGGGTGAATGCAAATTTATGGTAATAGTTATAGCTACTTGATACAATTTCTAGAAATCAATGTATGTACACCTGAAATAGGTGAAATTTAGATTATGTAAAAGATGCTTCAATAAAGTTGTTTATTTAAAAATAAAAAAGTTCCCAGGTAATGCAACCAATAGAGGCAAAGCTGAAAATGTATATGAAGGGAACAATTTTCTAGAAAATAATATATTTACCCAAATTGGCTTAAGAGGAAATACAAATCGTTAACTAGCTTGAATTGGCATTCAGGAGTTTCTGACTCCAAATGATGCCAGAGCCAGAAGGAGTTTACAAGTTTTATTAGATCTTCATCTTGAACTTACACATTTTTCAGAGAATGAGAAACAAAATCATCCGATGTGTTTTATGAGGCTGGGATAACCTTGATCCCCAAACCAACAATCCCCAACAAGGACAATGCAAGAAAAGAAAATTCCAGAAGAATTCTCTCAAATGTAGAGACACAAATCCTAAATATATGCTGCTGCTGCTAAGTCGCTTCAGTCGTGTCTGATTCTGTGCGACTCCATGGACAGCAGCCCACCAGGCTCCTCCGTCCATAGGACTCTCCAGGCAAGAATACTGGAGTGGGTTGCCATTTCCTTCTCCACTTAAATATATAGTAGCCAATTAAATATACCCTTGCAAAATAAAAACAAATCACAGCCAGCTTGGATTGATCCAGGCACACAAACACGTTATCAGCACATTTGCTGCAAAACTCCAGGCTTTTCTTTTGTGCAGAATGTGAGCTAGAAATGCAACTTTTGAGGAAGTTCTCCTAGGAATCTGTTCCTCATTTATTTATTCAGCAGATATATTTAGGTGCCTGTGAACTGTTGGGTGCCATTCTGACACGGCACATGACACAAACTCCTGCCATCAAAATTGGAAAGAAAGCAATTTATGCAATCCCCACATTAACAAATTAAAGGGAAACCCATGTGATCATCTCCATAGATACAGGAGAAATGCAGGGAAAAATCAACACTCGTTTATGATTTTTAGAAACCCGATAGGTAAGTCAAAACATACAGGAACTACTGTTCTACAGCAAATGCGTGTGCATGCTTGCTAAATTGCTTCAGTCGTGTCCAACTCTTTGTAACCCTGTGGACTGTACCCCGCCAGGCTCCTCTGTCCAAGAGATTCTCCAGGCAAGAATACTGGAGTGGGTTGCCACGTCCTCCTCTAGGGGATCTTCCCAATCCAGGGATTGAACCATGTCTCTTTTGTCTCCTGCATTAGCAGGCAGGCTCTTTACCACTAATGCCACCTGAAGCCCACAGCAAATATCATACTTAACAATAAAACCTCAGAAACAAGACAAGGACACCTACTATTACTCCTACAACTCAACATCTCTTGGCAATCCTGGACAAAGCAATAGGACAAGAAGGAGGAAAAAAGAAAAACAATTTGATGGCTCAGAATCCGTGCAATTAACTCTGCTCTCCAGAGGGCTGTTTACTTTTCAGACATTTATTGAGCATCCGTCTTGTGCCAGGATGGGGTCATAACTACTGTT